TGGTGGGTGCCACGACAGGAAAGAAAGGACACCCCTGCTTCCAAGAAATCCCTGCCCCGGGTAATGAATAGTTCACCCCTTAGTTAAAGACTGTCAGTGAAAGATAGAAACCCAAACCCCAAGGCAGGAGTTCTCTCTTCCTTGAGTTTTCCTCTCACACCTTAAGAGTGTACTTTTGGGGCGCCTGGGTGGCGCAGTTGGTTAAGCGTCCAACTTCAGCCAGGTCACGATCTCACCGTCTGTGAGTTCGAGCCCCGCGTCAGGCTCTGGGCTGATGGCTCAGAGCCTGGAGCCTGTTTCTGATTCTGTGTCTCCCTCTCTCTCTGCCCCTCCCCCGTTCATGCTCTGTCTCTCTCTGTCCCAAAAATATAAACGTTGAAAAAAAAAATTAAAAAAAAAAAAAAAGAGTGTACTTTTGCTCTCACAGATTTTGTGTTGCATGTCTGTCCTTGAATTCTTTCTTGTGATGACACCTGGCATCTCCCCAGTTCACCTGGCAACAGTTTCAGTCCCTAGTCTCCTTTTCATAGGAGGGAAGCATTCCTCCTGGAAATATCCTCCACAAACACAATAGGAGCACACTTTCATTTAATAGTATATATAGGAGATCTTTCCATTTCAGTACATGTTGACTTAGCGCATTCTTTTAATGGCTTCATGGTTTATTGTCCTGTAGATGTTCCTTAATTCACTCAACTAATGTTTCATTATGGACATTTTGGTAATCTCCAGATATGCACTTTTGCACAAATAAGGAAATAAATATAGGTTACATTCCTAGAAATGACATTGCTTGTTTAAGAGTGCATGAATTCTTTGCCTTTTTTTTTTTTTTTTTTTTTTTGTTTATTTTACTTTTGAGAGAGACAGCATGAGCTGGGGAGCAGCAGAGTGAGAGGGAGAGAGAGAATCCCACGCAGGTTCTATGGTAGAGCCCTGCCTTAAGGAATGTGGTGAAAACCTCAAGACAGGGGAGGGCAATCTTGCTATATGTGCATATGTGACATTCCTCATAACTCTGTAACATAAATTGCCCAATCAGACTATATGTCTCTATGTTACCATGTACAGGGGTCAAAGAGGTAGAAATTGTATAAAAGGTTACATATACCGCCCCCCCCCCCCCCCCCGCTCCAAGTTTGGGGCTCAGTTTTTTGGGTACAAGCCCACTGAGCCTGTGCTGGTACAAATAAAGTTGCTTTCTGGAAAGAAAAGCCTCGGTGTCACAACTCTCTGTATGAACCTCCGTCCCGTCACAGTTCCACACTGACAGCAGCAAGCCTGATGTGAGGCTTAAACCCATGAACCAAGAGATCATGACCTGAGCCCAAGTCAGACAGTCAATCAACTGAGACACCCAGGTGCCCCAAGAGTATGTGAATTCTAAATTTTAATAGACGTGGTCAATCTTTTCAAACAGTTTGTATCAGTTTACACTTCTACAAAAAGCATATGTGTGGCAGTGTCTTTTTCACTATGCCCTCATAACCATAAGGTATTATCAATTTTTTGTTTTTTACCAATGGTAAGTAGACAAAGATATTTCATTGTTTTAATATGCATTTATCTAATTTTGAATGTGTTGTATATCTTCGTCAACATTTCATAGGTGAAGGAAATGTATTTCCTAATCTACAGGGTAAGGAAATTCTCGCCTAGTTTATCTAATGTATGCAATATTTGTGGCAGGATATTAGCATTCAGATTGCTTTAATCTGTAAATTTATTACCCCCTTCCCTTTTCCTGCACTGCAAAGATATAAGGCAAATATTTTCCTACCTTCAATAAAGATGTCTTTTAGGAAAATGAACCTCATTTTTCTCTTGATTTTGGTCTACAGTCCTATTATAACCCATAGAGCAAGAGGAAAAAAGCGTTTCTCTGAATACCTTATAATGTGTGGGCATTGAGGGGAAATGGGGAGGAGGCCATATGATGAGCAAGTGGGCAGGGCAGGAGCTGAGAATTGATCCCCACAAGTTGCCCAGCAAGGGAGAGGATTTGCTGCCTGGGGAAGGAAGAGTCAAGTTGGTCCTGCCAGGTACCACGTTATGAGGTAATGTGTCAACGTTCAGAGCTGTCTGAACTCTCGGCCAGTGCCTGCAGACCCACTGCCTGGAACCTCACCTCTACCAGGTGCACTGTGCTTCCTGGGGCAGCTGATTCACATATCCTATCCTACACTGGAATAGTGATTGTCAAGCAATGGTGATGATGCTAGTGCTGACCCCAAGGCTTTGCTTGGCCCCCAGCTGCATACATCTCCCTCTCATAATTCTTGCAAGGGCAAGAAAATGCGGTGAAATGGAGTTCTGGATGCCAGTCTCATAGGTGAGCCCCACCTTCATGTTATCTGCATGCATGGGGAGAGGGTTGAACTAAGACAGTTCAAGACCCAGTCCTGGAATAGCAGTTATTAATCCTTGTTACACATTATTCCCATTTGACTTCATCTTTGTTTATAAAGTATTTTGGGTTTTGTGCATACATTAAAATTTTTTGTTTGGTAAAATTTATGTTTTTCTTCTTTTATGGATTTATGTTTGAAATGTAGATCAAGCATGAACTTGTTTTAAGAGTCCCAACTTTTTCTTTCCATATGATTGACCAAATATCCATCATTACTAAACAATCCAGCTTTTCCTCACTGACCTGAAATGCCCTCTTTATCATACATTAACTTCCATTGATCTTTTTTTTTTTAAAAAAAAATATTTATTTTTGAGAGAGAGAGAGAGCGTGAGCAGAGGGGAGCAGAGAGAGGGAGAGACAGAATCCCATGCTGTCAGCACAGAGCCTGATGCAGAGCTTGAACTCACAAACCATGAGATCATGACCTGAGCTGAAATCAAGAGTCAGGTGCTTAACCAAATGAGCCACTCAGGCACCCCAGATCTTTATTTTTTTTAATGCACATATCCAACTATGTTACATATAGCGATTATTTGGCGAGGCTACACCTTCCTCACTACCTATCTTTTTCTAATTTTCCCACAACCCCTATTTTTTCCCCCTAATATGAACCTGAGAGTTTGCATGTCTATTTCCCCTCAATCCTGATGATATTTTTCACTGGGATTATATGGCATTAGTCAATTTAGAACAACTATGCCTCTTACAATATTGTGTCTTTCTCTTTATAAGCACGTGTAGATTTATTCATATTTATGTATATTTGGTCTATAGACCACAGTTATTAATCTGCAAAGTAGATGAATGACTTTCCTCTTCCTAAAAGCCTAAATGGACTGCTCTTAGCATATATGGTTCTTAAGTGATTTTTAGTTGTTACAGACTGAGGGACCCAGGTTTAATGTCACCTCTTTACCACCTACCATATATAATTCATGTTTATTTGTTACATTGCTTCTAAACCATATGGCCTGAAACAAAATGAAGGTTTTAATTGTACGGGTGTAGACCCAAGGAAGGGGCTTACAGTGAAAGATAGCTCCCTTTCCAGATGTAGCCTCTCAGTTCTTGCTTTTTGCCCGATGCCATCCACTTTCCTTTTCACATAAACTTCATCTGTCAAACAAGCTGTTGTCCATGCATCCACTCCCGGAGTGTGGTGTTCAGGACCAGGCACTAAATTTGTGCAGAGGCTTTGATGCTGGAGTGTGGCCAGAAGAGAGTCACAATGAGGATGAAGGGATTGGAAACAAAGTCACGTAATTATATTACACTACACAATGTACACTGAGTGCTTACTCTATTCCAGACACTGTTCCTAACTATCTCAATCCTAACTGTTCACTCAATCCTCATAGTACTCCAATGAGGATGGTTCTATTGTTATCCTCATTTAACAGAGGAGGAAATTAAGACAGAAAAGTTAACTGTCCACTATCGCAGTGCTAGTATGGCAAGGCACATCTTACAAGTCTATGCCTTTGGTTGGAGGAAATGAGGAGGAGTAAGTATAGGGAAGCATGACACTTACCTTTAAATTTTTGAAGAGCTATCACATGGAAGAAACCACCCATTTGTTTATGGGTGCCCAGAGACTAACATGTGGACAAACAGGCAAAAGTTGATAAGTAGGTTTCTGGTTAATGAATACAATAATTTCCAAAGAATGAAATATATCTTAAGAAAGAATATGTGATCTTGCACGGTAGTGAGTTACTACTGGAAAAGTCCAAACAGAGACTGGCTGGTCCTGGTTGGGGATGCCAGCAAAATATTCAGGCACATATTTAGTGATTTTTATTAGTCATCCTCAAGGAACCCCAAGGCCTTGAGATGATGGTAAGTGGTTCACCTTTTAATTTTCAGCATGCTGGGGTTATGTATTATGGGTAGAGTGGCAACATTTTATTTATTTATTTATAGAAGGAGAGAGTGGGAGCAGGGGAGGCACAGAGAGAGAGGGGGGACAGAAGGTCCCAAGCAGGCTCCAGACTGACAGCAGAGAGCCTGATGTGGGGCTCGAACTCACCAACTATGAGATCATGATCTGAGCTGAAGTTGGATGCTAACTCACTGAGCCATCCAGGTGCCCTAGAATGGCAACATTTTAATGAGTTCCAGGTTATCTACTTTACAGAAATAGGATTGAAAGGCTGATTCATATTAAGCAAAGCTGATAAAAATACATGAAACTTCACAACAGAAAAATTTGGATAAAAATCTGATAAAAGCAGCCACTGTGCACGTGATAGAGGTTGTGAAGTATAGTAGTTGTGAACATGGATTCCAGAGCCACACATGTAGGTTCAAATCCTAGTTCTGTCGTTTACTAACTGTGTGACCTCAGGCAAGTTAACTTAGCTCTAGTTTCCTCCTACATAAATTACTGTGTTAAAACCATGATCTCATTATTTAATCCCTGTAAAGGACAAATGAATGTGGATGAATGGATAGACAGATAGATAGATAGATAGATAGATAAAGTGTGAGAACAAGAGTGAAGCAATAGCCTGGAACATAATAAGGAATAAATGTTTGCTATTATTTTCCAAAGAATGTCCATGATGTTTTAAATATTCAAACACTATCACAGGTACATTACTTTTAATTTTACTAATTGTCACAAATTGATACATTGTTTTGGAAAAAGCAGAGAGATATTGGCACATGGCAACTAACACAAACATAAGTCAAGAAAATATTAGACCAAGACAGATTAGAACAGACTTTCTCAAAAGTCTTCTAAAACCGTTGATTTATTTTTACTCATTTTAACAATCAAAAATAAGAATTTCATTGAGCATCCATTGTTATGCCTAGCACAGTGCTAAATACTTTAAGGAAAAATATATGAAGCACAGCAAATTGTCCTTGTCTTTAAGTAATTTATAATTTAGCTGTTTGTGATCATAAAGACACATTTAAGAATATTCTAGATCCTAGCACCTTTTTTTTTTTTTAAGGACCTAACACCTTTAAGTAAAATCATTTTTGAAAGTAATCACTTACTTCAATAACCCTGCCATTGCTCAAAACATTTTTTGCTTCTCTTCCTTGGGATTGCCCTTGGAGTCATCATACAAATCATGTAAGAGAAGCAGACTCATTGTTCCATCTTCCTCAAGCACCTAGCTTGGTTGCCTGAATGAATCACTAGGTTTGGTGTTCAGTGACTTCTGGTTATTTTAAAATCTCAAATTCACCCTAAAAACAAGTTTCTCTATTATTCTTTTTTTAACGTTTATTTTTGAAATAGAAAGAACCCAAGTGGAGTAGAGACAGACACTTGAGAGGGGCAGAAGATCTGAAGCGGGCTCTGCACTGACAGCAGAGAGCCCGATGTGGGGCTTGAACTCAAGAACCATGAGAGCCAAAACCAGATGCTTAACTGACTGAACGACTCAGGTGCACCACGTGTTGCTATTCTTGATGACCTTCCAAAGAATGTAGCACAGCATTACTGGACAGTAAGGAGCTGGAGGACCTCTATGCAGAGGCCCTTTCCCATCACCTCTGCATCTGCTGCAGCATCCAGCTGGGTGTTTGTCCACAATGGGAGCATAAGATGTGTATGTTGGACGGAACCGAAGGGCCAGCAGCACATTAGCTGTTCAGCAACTGGAGACAGCAAGGTGGGCTGGGGGTAAAGGCGGGGAAGAGTTCCAGACGGGGGTGGAGGGGGACTTCCTTCCGATCTGTTATTCTGAAACAGCACTACTCCTTAGACGTCCGGCTGTGACAGTGAAGGACAGAAAGGTCTGCCCGAAGCTGGCAGCAGATTTTCCCAATACTCCCTTCTGGCCCTGTGTTTAAAAAAAACAATTAAAAAATGCGTACCTGTTTCATAAGTCTAATATATATATATATATATATACACACACATATATGTGAATATAAAATAAATTAGTACATATGCATGTATGTATTTGCCAAATACACATAGGTTTGGTAGATGATCAGGCAGAACTTCAGTTTCAGCACACAGACTGAAAAATTATGTCCATCAATGCTTTTCTCACATTTCTATCAAAAACAGTCACTGGGTTTCACACCACCTCTCAGAAAAAGAATATGTGTTTAAATTTTACATGTTTTGGTGAACTACATGTATTCTGAAATTTCTAGCAGGGTCCTTCTAGCTCTACTCAATATTTTTATATAATGACAAATATATGAAGACGGGGTTTTAAAAAAATGGTTATTTATTTTGTGTGTGTGTGTGTGAGAGAGAGAGAGAGAGAGAGAGAGAGAGAGCACAAGCAGGAGAGGGGCAGGGAGAGAGAGGGAGAGAGTTATAAGCAGGCTTCACATGGTCAGTGCAGAGCCTGACGCAGGGCTCCAACCCATGAAGTGTGAGGTCATGACCTGAGCTGAAATTAAGAGTCGGCCGCTTAATTGGCTGAGCCACCCAGGCGCCCCGAAGCTGGTTTTTTTTTTTTTAATTTTTTTTTCAACGTTTATTTATTTTTTTTGGGACAGAGAGAGACAGAGCATGAACGGGGGAGGGGCAGAGAGAGAGGGAGACACAGAATCGGAAACAGGCTCCAGGCTCTGAGCCATCAGCCCAGAGCCTGACGCGGGGCTCCAACTCA